CATGATAGGGCTCTAGCCTTGAGCACAAAGAGGCTCATGGATAGTGCCCAGGCCCTGAGTTCAAGATCCAGGACCAGAAAAACAAAAGTGACTTTGTCAATGCTTTGAAACTACATCATCTAGTTATCGTGGAACTATCACATCATAGGGAGATTTGAAATAAATTAAAGATTAGATAATGAATCCAGTTATTAACGCTATAAATTATACTTATATAAACTGTAATTACAGAGTGTGGGAGAAAAGACACTCATTACGCGGTTATTCAGATAAATAAATGTAAGGAAGAGGTGCATTATTATAGAAATGATGAGGTATTGTTCCTGAAACATAATAAAGAATATATCTAATTCAATTTAATGACATGAAGTATTTCTCATCTGAGAGAATTAAAGTAGACCAAAAATTTTATATAGGTAATAGTTTTCTAATGAAATTAAATAACATAGATTTTAAAAACTTAACAAAATGTAAGTTCATTGGGTTAGGGGCCATTGGCTCACATTTATAATCTTAGTAACCTGGAGGCTGAGGTCTGATTACCGCAGCTCAAAGCCATCGAGGGTAGACAAATCTGAGAAAAATCTGTCAGATTGTATGGTTCGAGTGGTACCAGCCTTGAACAAAAAACAGGCAAGTGCACAAGACCCCTGTTTCAAGCACGTGCACACGTGCATGCGCATGCACACACACACAACGAGTCTTTGTGGGTAGTAAGTGGGAGCATCCCAATTATTGCTGGAGGTTTTTGTCTCCTGGCTTTTTTCACTTTTGTTCTCTCTACCTAGTTCAGGCCTTTATGACATAACCCTTAGCCTAACTGCTCATAAGGGTTTTACAATTAAAGGATCTCTGTGCACTACCTGCTCTTGAATCTACTCTGGTTTTCTTACTGGGCAAGTAGATTCCTGTGGCCCTGTCTTTTCATTGAAGCATCCATGGCCCTTCCAGTGGAGCCCCAGCTTTGGTTCCTAAGCTCTCCCACTTAACTTTTGGGTATGTGCCAAGAATACCTACCAAATGAGATATTCCTGCACCACATTTTGCCTTTTAAGAGATACATACATTAGTTGTACAAGGAAGGAGCAGTCACCATGACATTTCCACATATGTATGCAAAATAAATCCCAATCAAACTCATCTCTTCTCCTAACTCTTCTTTATCTCCACTTTCTTCCCTTTTTAAAATGAGTTCCACAAGTTTTCATTTCTCTCTTCTCCCACATGGAAATAAACTACTTTGACCACATTCATTCTCATTCATCTTTTCTCTGTTAGCCCTACCCACCTGCTCCTGCCGGTACCAGCTCCCTACTCCCTGCCAACTATTTTGGCAGTTAAGTTCCATTTAACTTTCCAGTCATTATTTTTATGTATATATTAATTTTACCAAAGGGTTTCATCATGGCATTTCAGATATACAGATATTATATATTTAATCAGAATCACCTCCATTGTTTCCTTCCATGTCTCCCCAGCCCCTTTTATTAACAGTTGTGAGATTCCCTATGCCATCTTCATATGTAGTTGCAAAGTACTTAGTTACTCAGACAAGGTGCTGATGGCTCATGCTTATAATCCTAGCTACTCAGGAGGCTGAGATCCGAAGATCGTGGTTCAAAGCCACGTAGGAAAGTCTGTGACTCATTGCCAGAAAGACGGGGATCCTGCTATGGCTTAAAGTGGTAGAGCACTAGCTTTGAGCAAAAAGAGCTCAAGGACAGTAACCAGGCCCTGAGTTCAAGCCCCACCACACACACACACACACACACACACACACACACACACATACACACACACACACACACACACACACAGAGTTATTTACCCTACATATTTCTTTTTCTTGCTATGTTGCTCAGAACTTATGGGATTCTACCTCAGGGATGTTCAATACCCTCCTCAAATGCATCGTCTTTGTTCAAACCTTCTCTATCCTCTAGCACAAAGTTCTTGCGTGTGCCAATGTGCTCTAATAACTAACATATAGGTTACTTACTGTATGCCAGGTGCTGCACTAACAATTCTATACGTATTATCTTGTTTTGTCTTATGAAAAACTCTAAGACACAGGTAAGGCAAGGGAGATGAAATCTTTCCAAAGGGCACAGAGCCAGAACTGGAGCTGGGATCTGAATCCTGTGTGCTTAAACACTCCTGTGGCTAAAAGCTCTCAAAGAAAGAGAAAATAGAAGAAAACATTATTCAACTTATATTTGTTTTGTGTTTATTCCTGTAATTATTTTATCTGCTTTTGTATGTGGGCTGACAATTTCTAGAGGGTAAAAATTCTAGTCTCATAGACGATGTTTGAGTTTCCAGCCACAACTGTTGGCAAAGGTAATGTTACTGAACCATCACATCTTCAAAGGTTTCATGATTGTGAACTGGCCAGGATCAAGCCCACTTTTCACTAATATTCCTCCTAAACAAATACATAGCTTGACCAAACTCTGGTGCATCATCAACCAACTGTTCTCCATGGACTCCAAGAAAGCTGTGCTTCATTTTACTATTCAGATTGAAGCTGGGAGTTTTCATTTCTTTTCTGCATAATGAAGTAGATGTTTAGGTGACTTGTCCCTTTTAGAGTTGAAACTACAAGTTCCTGAGGTTATTCATTTATTTTCAGGGTGGTACTTGATATTGAACTCAGTGGCTCCCAGGCTGGCACTCTACTTGAGCTAAGCTTTCTGGAGCTGGAGAAGGCCTTGAATCTCAATCCTACATCTCTACCTTCTAAGTAGTACAGGCTTGAGCCATCTGCCTGCCTGGATCCTGATATTATATAGGGAGTCATCAGGAAGGTCTGTGGTGGAGCTGTAGTGGTACTAATTAGAATGACTATCATCCTAGTTCAGGACCCTATACAATCCTATTGCCCTAAGATCCTGTATTTATAAGGATCAGTGGATGTACTACATTATTGACCAATTAGAAAATTCTAGAACACTTCTACAGTTTTACCTTGACACAAAATAAAATTATGCCATCATTATGGGAGTTCATGACTTCTCTATTTGTATTTTCAGAACTTGTTAGGTTTTCCCAAGAATTACCAGTCAGTGACTGTGTTAAGGAGTGTATTACCAAGGGCCAGGAACCTGTGGTTCATGCTTATTATCTTAGCTAGTCAGAAGCTGAGATCTGAGATTCTCGTTCAAAGCCACTTCCAGGCAGGGAAGTCCCTCATTAACCAACTACCACAAAGTCAAAAGTGGAGCTGCTCAAGTGGTAGAACACCCGGCTTGAGCAGCAGAGTGGGCACCCAGGCCCTGCGTTCAAGCCACAGGACCGGCACTAAAGAAACAACAAAATAAAATCATTGTGGAGAAACATGTTAAAAAAACCTTCCATTTAAACCATGTAGCAGCATCTGGGCTTGTTCTAGAACCTAGAAGACAAAGAGATGCCGGCCTTAGGTGAGAACCAACCACCTTGTACCTAGTCCCAATTCCTCAAAAGGACAAAAACCTCAACATTTCTGGAACCTCTTTAGAAACAACGGGATTCGACTAGTCAGATGCTAAGAGTGTGTAAGTGTGCTAAGACTAGTAGGCAAAGGGGTTTATCACAAAGTAACACTGCCAAGTGCCCGGCAGTAATACTGTTTTCTACCCAGGGGCGTCCCTGGCCTTGTACTGCCATTGCCTCCAGTGCTGCCGTGGCTGGCCAGGAGTAGGGGCCTAGACTGGGTGGGGAAGGGGGGCGGGGTGGCTGGCCAGGAGTAGGGGCCTAGACTGGGTGGGAAGGGGGCCGGGGTGGCTGGCCAGGAGTAGGGGCCTAGACTGGGTGGGAAGGGGGGGGGGGGCTGACCAGGAGTAGAGGCCTAGACTGGGTGGGAAGGGGGGGGGCTGGCCAGGAGTAGAGGCCTAGACTGGGTGGGAAGGGGGGGGCTGGCCAGGAGTAGAGGCCTAGACTGGGTGGGAAGGGGGGGGGGGCTGGCCAGGAGTAGAGGCCTAGACTGGGTGGGAAGGGGGGGGCTGGCCAGGAGTAGAGGCCTAGACTGGGTGGGAAGGGGGCCGGGGTGGCCAGGAGTAGAGGCCTAGACTGGGTGGGAAGGGGGGAGGCTGGCCAGGAGTAGAGGCCTAGACTGGGTGGGAAGGGGGCCAGGGTGGCTGGCCAGGAGTAGGGACCTAGACTGGGTGGGAAGGGGGGGGGGGCTGGCCAGGAGTAGAGGCCTAGACTGGGTGGGAAGGGGGGGGCTGGCCAGGAGTAGAGGCCTAGACTGGGTGGGAAGGGGGCCGGGGTGGCTGGCCAGGAGTAGGGACCTAGACTGGGTGGGAAGGGGGGTGGGGTGGCTGGCCAGGAGTAGAGGCCTAGACTGGGTGGGAAGGGGGCCGGGGTGGCTGGCCAGGAGTAGGGACCTAGACTGGGTGGGAAGGGGGGGGGGGCTGGCCAGGAGTAGAGGCCTAGACTGGGCGGGAAGGGGGCCGGGGTGGCTGGCCAGGAGTAGGGGCCTAGACTGGGTGGGAAGGGGGGTGGGGTGGCTGGCCAGGAGTAGGGGCCTAGACTGGGTGGGAAGGGGGGTGGGGTGGCTGGCCAGGAGTAGGGGACTAGACTGGGTGGGAAGCGGGGGAGAGGAATAGGGATGTGCGGTTGGCCAAGGAAGGATCAGGACTTCGTGGTGGAGCAGAGACCACCAAAAGTCCACTGAAAATTGGAATGGCCCCGTTTACTTTGGTTCCAGTAAGCCAGCGCACGAGCCAGAACCCTTCATAACAAACAAGCCCCGCAAGCCCCGCACCCGCGAACCCCCACGAGCCCAAGCCCGGTCAGCACTAGCCGGTGGCCACTCATCTTCGACCCCTTTAAGGCCTTGCTCCGCGGGACTAACGTTCGAACGAGCGCTGAAGCTCCTCCCTCAGCCTCTGATTGGCCGCACGCAGCACACAAAAGCGTTCCGGCCCGCCCCGAACGGTTGGCAGCGCGCCGTGATTGGCGTTCGAGCAGCTTATATAAAGCGCGGGGCGGCGCAGCTCACCTCAGTTGAGCGACCGGACGTGGGAGGAAGCGGTTGTCCGGAGCCAGGGGGCTGAAGCCGGCTGGCGCGCGCGGCTCGGAGTCGTTTTTCTTCGGAGCGCTGTCGAGGGCGCGCCCCCGGAGCGGACTTGTCTGCGCTCGTCGCTCTCCCTGTCGCCACCGGACCGGAGGCAGGGGTGGGTCCAGTCACCTCGACGCTCGCCCTGGGTAGAGGAGGCAGGATGGAGTTCAAGCTGGAGGCTCACCGCATCGTCAGCATCTCCCTGGGCAAGATCTACAACTCGCGGGTCCAGCGGGGCGGCATCAAGCTGCACAAGAACCTTCTGGTCTCGCTGGTGCTGCGCAGCGCACGCCAGGTCTACCTGAGCGACCCCTGCCCTGGCCTCTACCTCGCCGGCCCCGCGGGGACTCCGCTGGCGCCGCCGCCGCAGCCCGGGGAGCCGGCGTCCGGGCCCCCCGCGGGCTGGGGCGAGCCGCCTCCCCCGGCGGCCCACGTCGTCGCCTGGCCGGAGCCCGAGCAGCCGCAGCCGGGGTGCCCCGAGACCTCCCGCGCGCCGCGGGCGGGGAGCGCGGAGGACGCGGCCGAAGCTGCCGGGAGCCGCGAGGAAGCGGCGAGCGTGGCGGCGGCGGCGGCCGGCGGCTTCCCGGCTGCGCCGCCCTCGGAGGGGCCCGGGGCCGCGCGCCGTCCGTGCGGCTGCCCCCCCGCCGGGGAGGACCCGCCGGGCGCGCTGGCCGCGTCCCTCGGAGCTGACTGCCGCTGCGCGCCTCGGCCCGCCGAGGACGCAGCCCCCGCGCCGCCCGCCGTGGGCCCCAGGAAGCGCGGCGCGGCGGGGGTGGGCGGCGGCCACGCGGGCTGCCCGGCGCCCGGCGCCACCCCGCAGAAGAAGCCGCGCCGGCACTCGGAGGAGCAGCCCGGCGGCGGCGGCGAAGAGGACGGCGGCGAGGAGGAGATGGAGACGGGCAACGTGGCTAACCTCATCAGCATCTTCGGTTCCAGTTTCTCGGGACTCTTACGGAAAAGCCCCGGGGGCGGCCGGGAGGAGGAAGAGGCCGGGGAGGGCGGTCCGGAAACCGCCGAGCCGGGGCAGATCTGCTGCGATAAGCCGGTGCTGAGAGACATGAACCCCTGGAGCACAGCCATCGTGGCCTTCTGAGCCCCAGTTCCCGGGCGGCGGGGTGGAGGTTGAGCAGCGGGCGTCCCCGAAGTGAGGGCCGGGCCTCTCCCGGCGACGAGGACGCCCCGAGACGGCAGGCGCCGAGCGCGTCGGGGGAGACTGGTGGCTGCGGGGCAGCACCCCGACCCCGGCCTGGCAGCCCTGCTGTGTCGAGACTCGAGGCTCGTGCGGAGACCTGGAGTCGGAGGCTTATCCTAGGAAGAGGACGATCGATCGTTAACCTTTTGTGTACGTGTGTGTCTGTAAGTTCGTCTTGTTGAATTTAGACTTTTTTGTTGTTGTTGTTGTTGTCCGCCTGGAACGCACCACCCCTTCCCCGGGGCTTAAGACTTTGGGGACTGACAGGGACTTTCCTCCGCCCTCCGCCCGGAGAAGGAAGCGGCTGTCGGCGGGGGCGCGGGAGTTCCCCGGCTGATCTCGGGGAGGGAGGGGACTTTACACACCTTTGTCGTGCGAGTTGAGCTGCCCCCGAGCCGGGAGGGGCCTCCTCCCCGGATTGCCTGCCACTGGCGGGGAGCAGCCCGCAGCGGAGACTCATTCCTTCTCTCCTCCCCACCATCTTCGCACAGAAGAAACGTTCTGACCCTGTGATTACTCTGGGGAAAGGGGAATATTAAGGGACCTTCATTTCCTCACGGCGGGGGGGGGGGGGGGGGGGGGGGGGGAAGCTTGATGAACTTCACCCAAGAGTTCAAGCTTGGAAATACGGAGTTTATAGAGAAAAGATATATTTTTAAAAGCTCTAGCTCAGAACTACACAGTGCTTTTAAAAAAGTGTTTAATGAAACAGAGTTTACAGACAAGCCCTATGTGGAAAGACCTTATGGGTTTGTAGATATGGTGACTCCAGTCTTTGTTGTATAAAGGTTGGGGGAGCTGATAAGGTTTTTGTACAGTATTTTCTCCTTCCTTGTATTGATTTTTGTATAAAAATGTAACTTTACGTGTCTAACACGTATTAAATATTTTGAAGCAACTTCACTGCCTCCTTGTCTGTAATCACCTGCCTGGGTTTTCCAGCAAAGTGGGGGAGGGGTGCCAAGGTCTGCGCTAGAAAATTAAAGGTGTGGTTCTTAATATCAGACATTCACAGACCAAGGACATTGTTCACTGGTTTCACTGAGTATCAGGAGAGACACATGTACTGTTCCCCCCCCCCCCATCCCCATACCATAAGACTGCTATTAGATACTAATATCAGTGACCAGCAGTTTCTTGAAATGGGTACGACTACAACTGCCCTTTCTATAGACAATTTAGGCCAGTTTTCTCCAGCCTAATCTGATGGTGTCTAACATTAATAAGCATCAATAACTAACACCAATTAGCATCAACTTCTGAAGCCCTTATCCACAAAAATGTTTCTACCTAAACCATCTGTTAATTTATATATCATGGATTATTTTACAGATTTGAACTGGAAAAAAAAATGCTGACTTTAGCTGCCTGTTAGAACTAGAACATAGGTAAAGCTGATGAGACTTGTCCAAGTGGACAGGTCCACCCCTACATTCCACTAGGTGTCAGGATTGAAATTTTTTATTTTTCTTTACTAGTATAGCTGTAGAAAGTAGTTTCATATGTGAAAGTGAAATTCCTGTGTCAAACCAGATAAGGAAGAGAGCTAAGTTAATTTTCACAACACTTCCAGATTGGCTTTTGCCACCTAAGTGATGACATCAGTGTTTTGGTTCTGATAAAACACATGACAGCCATATCATTTTGCTAAAATTATTGCTATTCCAGGAGGTTTTCTGTTTTTGTCTAAATCAAGATGTTCAGTATTTGAAAGGTATTAGGTAATCTGTATTTCAGGAGCAAAGCAACTAGAAAGTTGTTTTAAAATGCCAGTATTTTAAAAGATGGTTCCAGTTTATGAGTACTAGAATGTTTTAAGGGGTGGGAGAAGTTGACAAAACAGACAAAGCTTTAAGAAAAGGTTATGACCTTTATAATAAAAAGCTTGTGAATGGTACCTGGCCTTACTTAACAGTTACAATTAAATGAACCTTCATAGGGGAGTGAGCCACTGCTTTGGTATCTCTTCAAATCTGTTAGTGAACTATTAACATAAGTAGGCATACAGAATTTTTTACTTTATGCTCCATCATTGTAATACACATATAACTGTATATTATTCAACTAGGCAATTCCCTAAGTTGTTTTGATTTTCATTAAAAGATGAGCTACTTTAAGTCTGCCATAATCACCAAAGATCCACTGAAGGCTGACTGCTTAAACTAAAAGTGCCCAGGACTTAATGTTGGAACAAATTTCCTGTTGCTAGATAGTAGTTACACTTGAACAGCTATCAATGCATTTTTTTTAATATTAGAAAGATAGTGACACTTGGTGTATTAAAAAAGCTGTATATTTTGGATGAGACTGAAATTCCTGTTGATTCCTCATTTCCCATGAAGATGAACCATGGGACCATGTGTCTGCTTAATTTAGAAAATGCAAACTGACATATTTGAAAAGGAGAAAGCTGTATAGAAAACTTTTTAAAAATCTTTGTGTGGGGGGGCAGTTACAGAATTGTTAGATAACTGTATAGTGTAAAGGTTTGAATATGGACTCTGGCTGGAGCCAGGCTGCCTGGATTTTTGAATCTTAGCTCTGCTAAGATTCTGCTACTTTGGACCTTGGACCTTGGATAAGTTATTTCATCTCTCTACTTCAATTTTCTTTTCAAATATGAAATTGGTATAATTGTACCTCATAGAGTTGTGAAAATTGAGTTAATGATCTTAGAAAAATACCTCATAACCAATGGGCATGGTGGTATGTCCCTGTAAAGTAATCTCAGCCCTCAGGAGGCCAAGGCAAGGGGATTGAGAGTACCAAGCTAGCCTGGACTACATAGTGAGACTGTTTAAAAAACCAAACCAAACCAAATACTTCATACATAGTAAGTGCTTAATAGTTTTTACTACAATAGAAGCAAATTCTGTATATAAATCAAATATTCTCTTGTGAAAGAATTGTACATTCTCTGGTGAAGAATTGTACATGTTTGTAAGAAATAAGAACAAATCTTTAAATTATCTGAGTGTGGGTTCTTTTATTTTTTTTTCCCCTGGATGCTTAGCCATCATAAAGCTTTGTTCTACCAACATAGATTTGTTGCTGTGTATGTCTCACACCAAACTGTGACTTTCCTGGGTTGTATCAAACGACTCTATTTTCAGGAAGGAATAACAGGAGTGAAAACTCACAAGGAGCAAAGTTCTTGTTGACATACAAATGCTCTCTGTGATGAGTAAAGGGAAAAAAAATAGTTCACAGAGTTATTTTTAGCCTGAATTTCTTGGCACAGAATGCTCCTTAAGCCATGCCCATTGATAGACCCTGAACAAGATGATGCCAAGACAGGATTATCACATAGCTAAATCAGATGCAGGATGACTAGAAACAAAGCCAGGGTTTTGGTATCTAACCATTTCTTACCACTTTGGGAAACTCCAGACTATAGCTGTAGTCTGGATTTTTTTTTTTTTTTTTGCCTCCTCATGCTGAGAATTGAACTTGGGACCCTAGACCATACTAGCTAGGCAAGTGCTCTACTTCTGAGCTTCACCTCTAAGCACTCCTTCCCTGATTTTGTTTTGTTTTTCTGACTGCTATGTAAAGGCCAAGTATTTGAAGTGCTTTTTGACAAGCACTCCAAGATGATAGTAGGAGATAATGATTTTTAATACAGTACTTATCAATCACGTTGCTTTAATTTTTTTTAATAAATTTTTTGGAGCTGGTACTGGGGTTTGAACTCAGGGCTTGGGGGCAATGTTTCTCAGCTTTTTCCACTCAAAGCTGGTGCTCTGCCACTTGAGCCACACCTGGCTTTTTAAGAGTTAATTTGAAATAAGAGTCTCACAGATTTTTCTCCCCAGGCTGGTTACAAATCGAGATCCTCAAATCTTAGCCTCCCTCCCAAGTAGCTAGATTTACAGGTGAGAGCCACCAGCACGCAGCTTGCTTTAATATTTTTATTGTCCTCCCTTTCAGAAACCATCTTCATTTGGGAAAAGAGCTAATGATGGGAAAATTGGATTGCTACTCCAAAGTGACTAGGTTTTCTTTGTAGCATCTAATAACTTTTCCATTCCTCCCATTCATCCATGGGAATGAGAAGTGGGAGAGAATACTCAGAATAAGGATGTATTTCCTATTGGAACTGACTTTAATGATGGCAGAAATGTTCTGTTTTCATCACTGGGTTAATCTGAGTGTCTTCAACTTAATAGGCATGACTGTCTTGCTTAGAGACAGTGATAAGTCTATAGACTAATATCACTGTTACATGGAGTTTAACTGGCATTTATTTCCCTATACTACTTTTTTTTTTTTTTACAACGAAGAGTTAGTTCAGTTCTGATAAGCAAAGAATTTCTGATCTTTTGCCCTAAATATTTTATTCCTGTCCCATTTGTGAATTTTTTATTCTCCTTGGCTCCCTTTTATCCCAGCAGTTCCTGAAAGAAGATGGGAATGAAAAGAAAAGCTGAGCCAACCTTCCAGTGACTATAAAAGAAGCGTAACCATGAGGCACAGTGTTCCAGTGGAGAGTGAGGTCGACTTCCCAGGATTCCTGGCACTCTTTCCAGTAATGAGCAGTTTGTCTCTCAACCTCTGAACCATTGTTCACATTTAAAAATCTACCCTGTGGAAAGCCTCGGGAGGAAAAACCATGGTAGAAGCAGAGTTGGTGTTAGGAATCAGAGATCCTAACTCATGCCCTTGGAGTTTGCAGTAACAGTTCTTCGGGGTACATAGAGAACACACATCTAGTTGAATGTTTCCTTTCCTTATCCAAACAGTTTTTCCTAAAGTGTGCCAGTATTACTCCCCTCCCCCAGTGGGAATGAGGGTTTAAAAAATAAAGTCCTTCTCTAGTGATTGCCCTCTCCCAGAAGAATATAGCCCAAAGCATCTCAGTTGGATGACATCGTGGGGTTTGTCTCAGACCTTTGGAATCCTCCGGGCAAGGAAGGGGAAACCTCCAGGGACTGCATTCCTGAAAGAGCCTCTCCCTTTCACTGCTCTGCAGACCAACAGCAGCCCACAGCAGCGCGTGCTGTCCACTTCTGCAGAGATGAATGGTGGTCATTTTGGAAAGGAGGAAAGAAGAGCTGGTCCCAGTTACTCTACTGTGCATCTCTAGCTGGTCATTTAGGGGACTGGCTTAGAGGAGGCCTGTGGTATCTGCTGGTAAATCTACTTATTAAGAGTCTTGTATAATAAAGTGGTCTGAGATCTGGTGACAAGCAGCCCTTAGGCCTGTGTGATAAGCCATATTCCTAACTTCCAGGATGAAGATGAGAATTAGCTATTCTTTTCCCACTCATTTAGCACCAAGCCAGCCCTGATCCCAGATCTCTGCTTTCTCCCAACAAACTGGACTTCTGCCAAGTTTCCCTGCCCAGTCATTTCACCAGATGCCAAGGCAAGGCTCTTCTCCATTTTTCTAGAACTAGGGATGTGCTAAAAGCTGTGTGTTCCCACATGCTTATTCTTCTGCCCATTCACCTCCTAAGTCTTGGGGCAGAGAAGTAGTTGGGAACTTGCTTGGTCTGAAATAACCAAAAACAAGCAAAACCAAACCAAACTATTCTGTTCCCTTTGTAAACCTGTGTTTCCTTTTCTCAAAGCACTGATAGTTGTTTCTGGATGTGGGACTTCCTGTGGCTGCTCTCCATACTTGGTCGCCTTCTTGAATCTAGGATGCCATCCAACCAAGTATTTCTCTCCCAAGCTGATCTGCACCTACTTAGCTATTTCGCCCTAGTTACATCATCCTGGCCTATCTGGCATAGATATTTCCGCTAGGGCTGTAGCTATTCATCTTCCATTTCTGTCTGGCTGAGTCTTCTAAGTCTCATTTCCCCGACTCTCTCACTGGATGGTACTCATTGTCATCATTAAAGTGAGAATGAGTCTGCTCAGTGAATAGCTATGGTCGGGAATGGAACAGCCC